TCCTCTGGAAATCTTCAATAATTGTTGTTGATTGCAGATGTGTCTAGTAGTTCCCATTGATTTAGCTTGTAAAGCGGGGAGAATGGCGCTAGGCTTACCGCACCGTGACGTCACTGCTGGAAGATGGCAGGAGGGAGGGGTTACTATATATGGGCAAAAATGGCCGCTTCTCTGTGATCGCGACGAAAATGATTGTTTTTATTTTTTCATCTGATTAACACTAAATTCATTAAATTACCACAAACGTATTAGTTTTAGGTAAAGATAGTGATCCATTGATTATTCCGTGCTGACCGGACTTTTCTTTAAGTTCTTTCCTAGTTACAGTTAGATCCTGTTTTCCCTGGTTATTCTTTGTTCCCCCTAAGTGTCCCTTTTTTTCCCCCTTTTTAGTTGCCCCTGTCCACACCTGCTCCCTATTAGCTGATTAGCCGATTTATTGTTCGCTTCTCCAATATATACACCTCCTGTACAGTTGCTCTTTGCTCGATTTTCTTCATTTTTTCTGCATTTTTCTCCCAAGTATCTCCTGGTTTTGGTTGTTAAGTCTCCTGTCTGAAATCACATCCATCATGGTGATTCGATTCAGTATCGATTTCCTGACCCAACAATTTGATTATTTTCGATTCTATTAATTGGTTATTTTATTTTATTTTTTTACCTTACAGGCTAGACAATGTTTCAAATTTGAATTAAGTCAATGAAACTGTAATATCGTTATGCATTTTATAAGAGAAACAACAGCAAATAACAGAAGTAGCGAAGTTGTACTCCACCTAGGCCTATGAAAACCTCATTCACTTCTGGAACCCGAAATAGTCCCACAGAAATGACTTGAACCCGTGTGTACGTCATCTTCTTTTTCCTCCGCCACCTCTGTCTTGCCTACCTCTTCTTTCAGCTCCACTATCTCCGCCATGCCTCTCTTGCCTACTTATTACGTGAGTAAGTGTGTGCAAGCGGAAAGGGGGTAGTGGCTAAAGGAAGTGAGGTAGGAGGGAATTAATTATTGCAGGACGCTTCGGCTCTGATCGGCATGCTGTTAGAACACCAGAGTCGGGTTGACCTGAAAAATTACGTGATATCATTGAGAAGGCAACAAACTGACGTCAACACACCGCGTCAGTCGCTTCTGATCTAACAAACAGGAACAACTCTGTTTACATTTGATAAACATGGAGAAGCTCTGGTGAGAGGGATTCAGACAGATAATACAGAGAAACAATAACGCACACTGACTACTGGCTTCTTTACATGTTGCTCTCCATTGTTTACTTTCCTGATTTCTATCGCACTGGTGACATCATCAAAGCTAACCCAACGTGATGGTGTCACCAGATGCCAGCGAGGGGTTAGACTGGCTTTTTTTGCTAGTGGGAAGGGAGCTGATTGTTAGCGGGTCGACCCATGTTTGAAAAAGAAGGGTTAACCCGCTATTTTCTGTAGGAAAGAGGCTAATGTTAGACAAATGGGCTAATGGCTACCAGACACAAGGGAGCTATTAAAGAGGCTTTCTGGATCTCCTTTAGAAGCCAGATATAATGAGCAGATCAGAGAACATGTAAACAATAATGTCATTTTAGCGTTGTAACGCTTTTTGAAATATTTGTTACTTTAGAAAGGAAGTTGAAAACATGTTAGCCTCTGGTCCTGCTAGCATTGGTATTAGCATGCGGTCGATTGGTTTTTAAACAGACT